CAGTTAATCCTTCCCTGCGCCATCCCCAGGGAAGCAATCAATGTTGTTTCCGCCTTCTTGTCGGCGGCGTACTGTGATGACGGGGATGTATGGTCCTGTTTTTGTTGATGTGGTGCAACGGTGAATCCATCCCCGTCCTTGTTCGTGTAAAGATCACATTCAGTTTCTTGAGTGCTTCGTGTATGACACTTTGCTTTCAGTCCGTTTCGTCATTTTGGTTTTTGTCTTTTTTCGTCGTTTTGCTTTGAGTACGTCGTGTATGATATTTAGCGTTTTCGTTTGCAATGGTCTGAACGCGATTATTGAATACCGACAAAATGATGACACAATAACTCACATATAATGCGTTTCATATAAAAGCTCACTCGAAGTCATCATCACATGATGTGCTCAAATTAGAAAACACAAATTTCAAACATATGTCATCAAATTACACGCACCCCAACTTCCTTCACACATCCCCCTCCCATGCTGCCGGAAATTGAACAATCGCAATGAGAAAAGCAACCGTCATTAATCGAAAACAATAGAGGCGAGAAGAAGATAAGAAGATCGAGTTCACTGAAACTGAAAATACGAGTCGACTTTCGTCAATCGGAACACGAAAACAAACGCCATGAAACGAACCCCCCCTACCCAGCCCCAAATCGACACGGCGAAGCCCGAACCTCCGCACTGCAATGAGACGGCGAGATCTAAACCCGCACTAACCGCTGTGACCTTGAATGGGGGCAGACCGAAATCACCCACCCACAAAACACCCGCAAACCTCTAGCCTTCTACAACCCTCATCTGCGGGATGCAAACCAACTATCGTATTTGCATGCGCAGAGCATCTCGCAGAGCGAGGGCAGCCTCCGTCGCGTCGGCTTGGGAGACTGGCTGCGACAAATCTTGCAAGCCAAGGTTTATGGGGACAGTGTTCCCTTCCCGGTCGCGGTCAACCGGGTCAAGCAAAAGACGCTCGCCGAACGGGACCCCAGCCTCCAGCAGCAAATTGTGGATGATACACACGGCAGTGAATTGCTGCGGGAGGTTATTCATATTCGTCTTGTGATGACGAAGGAATAACCTCCACATCCCCTTAAGTCGCCCGAATGCTCTTTCCACTACCCCTCTCGTTGTCTTCTGCCGCATGTCGAAAAGAGTGATGTCCCTCGTCTGCTCCGACCCTCCATATGGAACCACAATCCAAGTGCGGGGTGCGTAACCATTGTCCCCCAGCAGGTATCCTGTCGTCCTTACCCCCCCCCGGAGGATGATGGGGTCCGCCGTGAAGATGTCGCCCACCTCTGCTCGCCTAAGTAGTGAAGAGTTGCGCAGCACGCGGGCATCGTGGACACATCCAGGATAACCGACGAACACGTCGACGACACGCATGTCAAGGTCGACGACGACCTGCACCACGATTGAAAATTGTTGCTTACGATCAAAGTAGTTTTCGGACGGTGCGTTTGGAGGCTTGTCGACGTAAATATGGGTGCAGTCGATGGCACCCAAGCAGTTAGGGAAACCTTTGTCGCCGAATGCTCGGACGACCTGTAGGAGACGACGGCCGGTAGGAAACGCTATCTTCTCCGGATACGCAGCCAGTATAGCTTTCGTCACATGATCCACAGCCTTGATGCCTGATGACTTCCCCATGCCGAACGACGACGTGCTGCTCTCAAAAGTCTCTCCTGATGCCCATCGGTACAACGCGTAAGCCACGATATGGTCGGGCTGCAATGGCTCCCGATAGTGAGTCAGTCTGCGTTGAATGAAAGGACTGCAAGCGGCGACGATGTCGTTGAACACCGTCCTCGTCATCCGCAGTTTGTCATGGAAGTAGTCCTCGCTCGCATCGTTGGCGATGGAGAGGTCCCTCCAAGTTCCACCCGTCCTTCTTTTCACCCACCACCTTGGCGTCTCCCTCGGCATGACACCCGCCACGATTGCATTCGACAACAAGAACGGCGCATCCCACAGGCCTGGCGAGGAGTGCACGTCCATCAAAGCCTGGGCTATGGCGGCCTCTCGTCTGCTCGTCTGTCGTCCGCTTGCCTGCCCCACGTCGTTCACCGTCTGCATGTGACGTGCAACTGCGAGCAACGTCGTCCCTAGCAGCGACCTCTCCCTTGGCGTCAGCCTCCACGCCCCAGGTGCATCACCGATGTCGTCTTCCATAGCGCCCACTGAACTGGAACTTCGCGCGCAGCTCACGCACCGGCTCGCCGGCTATGGCGACCTTCTTCCTGACGCGTCAGAAAGCACGGATATTTCCTGCACTCGGCGTCAGTGTGCGCAGGCAGCGGAACTCAAATTCAAAATTTTGCCACCGCGCGCACCTTCTTATCGCGGGACGCCGCCGTCGCGCCCCCGGTAGGCTGGGCACGGGCCTGGAAATTGGATGTCCCACGGGCCCGCAGCTGGTGGACAACTTTTTGTCCGTCGTACTGCCTTCGCGGACATCCGTGCGCGACAAACCGACCTTCTGACACCTGCCCCCCCTCACCTGGGATGTAAGGGCGGGTAAGTGTAGGGTAAGTGTAGTGCGCTGTGGAACAAAAATCGTTGTTAGGGTAATTTAATCACCCTTCGCCAGTAAGGGTGCCCTTACAATGTAAGGATTGTTAAGTGGTATGGAACGAGGCCCTATGTTGATCAAAATTTCAAATACTTGGTGAGAAATGTTCCGAACTAGTTCAGACAAGGTTTTTTTTTTTTTTTTTTTTTGAAAAGCCCTTGCGATATCATATAGGTAGGGGCCTGGACCCACTAGCGAAGTATTCTACGACGCGTGACACAGTTTTATGTTTTTTTGGAAAACACAAAGTGATTTTTTATTTGCATGAATGGATCTTTTTTTGATTTAAAATGAATTGAAATAGGACATAAAACTATGAAGAACAGCTGTGCACCCGAATTCATCAGTTGGTACGATCTCCTTCACGTAAGTCTTCATAGTGATGTACCGTGGCAATAAAATGTGTCCACGAACACATTCACGAGGATGAACAAGTAACGGGTATTGGGATACATTCCTCGCGATGTATCTCATGATGCCTTTAGCAGGCCATCCGACAGACGCGGAAGCATTCCTGTCAGATGCACAACAATATTCGAATTTCACATTTCAAGTTCTATTTCTCAAAGCCAAAAAAAAAAAAAACGAAGTCTGGAAATCAACCCCCCCCTTTAGAGCCCATAAAATCCAGACTTTCGGCCCACGCAAAGCCACAAGCTATCATGTCCAAGTTAGTCCAACTTCGTTTTTTTTGTTTTTTTTTCAACGCATCTCATTGGACGGGAGGTGGGCATCTTTACAGTCCCCGCTCGGAAACTACCAGGCCGTCGAGATCCGATCTATTCGACGGTCGTACTGAGTCACTCGATGCCACACGTTATCGAAATCCTGAACGGCGTGGTAGAAGACCTTGCTAGTGGGTCCAGGCCCCGGGAGCAGAAATAGGCAAAAAGTAGTGCAATCGAAGGAAAAACATGATCAGCTAGAGAACATGTCGGGCATGAAGGAAGGGGGGGAGAGAGAGAGAGAGAGAGAGAGAGAGAGAGAGAGAGAGAGAGAGAGAGAGAGAGAGAGAGAGAGAGAGAGAGAGAGAGAGAG